ACTTTGTTTAAACGTAATATTCGAATTTACATGGTGCATATTCGGGCGTCATAATCTGCGTATTAAAGTTTAGTGAAACAATTTACTGTTCCTTGTTTTACTTTTTACCCAAATGTTTAGACATTATTATAATAGTAGGCAGCCCTAAGCACATGAGTGGGTAAAAAGCGTACAGAGTAAAAGCTTCTAACTACTACGAGAACGGTATATGTGTGCGTAACCACTGGACGAACGACGCAAACGCGGCGATACTGAGAAAAACCGGTTTACAACTGAAAAATCGTCTGTGCCGGTGTAAACCGGTATGAAGCATTATCTCTGTACGTTTTTATCTCCTCTATGGCCCTAAGCGTCAGACAGGTGACTGAGATACGAACTCGGGCATACGCTCTCACGTGACCTACGATCTGCTTTGGAAGGTTACTCTTGACTTAAGGGTAGCGATATAATCTGTCCATATCTACATGAAGTTTCATAACATGCCTTAAAATAAAATTAAAAACCAGTAAAAATTTGATCCGTAAAGTCTTTTAATAAATGTTAGTTTTTTAATCGTTTTTAAACGGTTCAAATATCATCTACTAATACGTTGTATCGAATCCAATATATCATGTTGATATGGACAGATTACAAGGTGGCCAACACACGCAATAGATAGTAAACTTTAATACTTTGCTCTATAGATATATTTAGATGTTAAACATAAAGTAGATTCAAATTACATATTTTGATCTTCTTTGATACATAAATAAACATCACGTGCACAGTTGGCCACCTCTGCATTTTGCTCCGTTTACCTTATTAATCAAGCCAAGTTTCTCAAAATCAGACTGTCTTTAAAATAAAAGAATATAATACAGTTCTCCAAATATAACTTACGTCTCGTTTTGTGATGCATAATTTTTAAATTGTGATGCAGTTTATTAATTAAAACTATAGCATACTGTTCCGGCGGATTACGCTCTTTAAGTAAAAACCGTACTCGTGTGATAAACTAATAAATAACTCTAAAGCTAAACGTCTCGCGACCTTGCCTGATAAATGAGCGAATTACAACTATGACATGCATTAAACGACTAATTAAAAATATGCTCCATACTAAAAGTTCTTATATTTATCAAACTAACGATATATTTATATATTTTTTCATTAAATATGCTTTTAAGTGTAAAAATAGTTCTTTAAGACCAAACGTCAAAGTACTTTTACATGGTTTGATGGAGTTCAAAATTCTCCTTTGAGACCGTTGTTACCAAATAATGTTAATAATGCCCAAAGAGAAAAACATGTTACATATAATTTAGTAGTCTAGAATAAACATTATAATCGGCATGTCATTTTCTTAATTCGATTATAAGCAAATAAAAATACGCGCATTTGCAAATTATATTGGACGGCAAAGACGTTACACGAGTGACTCATAAACAAATACGAAATCTAATAGCAATAAATAATTATAATCTGACGCTTCAAACTGCAGTTTGGTAATAGAAGATTTTTCATTAATAGTATAGTGCGCGTCATAACCGTAATTAAGAGCGCACTATAACCGGAACCAAGATGGCGCCGATAACGTAATATCCGATAATAAACGATAAATATGAAAGATTTAAAAGTCTACTCAAGAGATCAAGCTATTTTCTTTACAATGACGTAATATTTAATGGTAACAAGTTTAATTCATAGTCTGAAACCTTTCTAGTGTTCAAAAGGAAATTATCTTTCATAATACTTTTAAACAAGATGTTTACGATATGCGGAGATACTTGTTTCTACAATATGTCGCGCGGTACATAACAAAATTGTTTACATATAACTCAAAGTGCATTATTAACGAATTGGTACGAGCTAGGACTATAGTTCGAGTATACTAATAGGTTTAAAAATGTCTATCTGAACCGGTACTGTTGATAAATTACTGCGTATATTTCTATCAATTTATTAAACGAAACGTGGACACATACGTCGTCCTTTATAGTATTCTTAGTCCGACCAATACAGTGTTAATTTATACTAACTAGCATTCTAAAAATTTACTAACTACTGAATGCTGAATACATCCACACGAATGGATGCATATAGACATCTACTTAATGAAGATATTAAACTAAATACTACGAAGGCAACAGTTGACAACAGAGTGCGTATCCAACGAATGGTAACAAACAAATCGATTACTTGGTTTCATACAAACTAGCGAAATAAGCGAAATACTTATGTGGGTCATTTGACAACCCTAATATCGTAAGCTTTAACCAGGGGCCTTCCAATCACAAACCAAAGGTGTATGTAACTTTAGTCATGTGCCGTAATATGTATAATGCACAATGAGTTTAAAACGAATTAAACGAAATATAGCGTCAGAGCGTAAAATCAGCACGGCCTGTAATTTAACTGGGTAATTGTGATACTTTGTGATCATTTGCAAATTACACGCGCCCCTGGGCATAGCATGCGTTTAATTGCATCGTAAATAATCCCTATTTTCCATTCTTTATACCACTATTATTACCTGATTTTTATGCCATGGGAATTTAATTAATTTGATAAGATACAATTATATTTGAATCTCATTAGCTCTGTAGAATTGAAAATTTGTTCATACTTTATTTAGTATAGTAATGTTATGAATCCAACAAAATGAATGTACCTTCTAGAGTAGAGCACATTTTAATGACCCGTTTTTAATTGTTTCAGTCTACTCGTCCAAGCAATCGATGGTAAATATCCTGTTCTCATCATGTTTTAAGTTAGTAACACACCAAGTATATTAAGTACGTCTACGTATAAATGATATCTTAATTTTTATTGCTTTACGGAACAACTTTCTCATCAATATTCGTATATCTGTTGCCTACTGCTGCCCTATCCGCTGTTATATACTCCCAAACGGCTCAAAAACGCTACTTTGCATTATAATATAATAATATAAACGTGTAAATAAAGTTACTATAGTTACTCGAACGCACGCCTACGTGTTCATGTACGAACTATACGTAGACATTCGGACACAAATTTCGACAAGAGAATATCAAAAATAGTGTATCGACGGCCGTATTCTACAATCTGTCCTCGAGCGACTCGCCTCCCGCGAGCCCTCTGCCAATCATCATAATGGACTATTGTTATAAAATTTTGAATTTTTCATCTCTTTTAAATCTACCCCACAAACACTTCCACTTTAAATGAAATTATCTGCACCTTTTAGATTTCGTTAGGAATTTCTTTCGAATCAGTTCAAATAAATCGTCTCAAAATAAACTCACCCTCAGATTGTAGTTCTAATATCGTCTAACACATAATAAAAATATTTAAATGAGCGTCGAACACAAAAAAAAATACTTGAAATGATACTAAAGTCTTAAATAAACGACAGAGATCTTCAAAAATAATTCGCTAATGGACTTTTAAATGAGTCTGGCCGAATGGACAACGCATATTCAATATAATTACGACGGAAATCGACAACTATAACGAATTGTTCATCCATATGGCGAATAAAATTAAACTAAGAAATATTTAATGCTAACCAAAACTGAACTCATAAACAAAGTCGAGTCTGTCCATAGATAAAACTCTTATGCTACGATACATGCGCATGCAAACTTTATAGCAGCTCGGAATATCGCACTTGCCGCTAACGGCGAGCCGCTATAAATTTTGAATCTTATAATACTACTCCCAAAGGTGAGACATAAAAAGCCTCAGTTTTGATTAACATTCCTCTCATTGTAATTTAACATCATAAGCAAACGAATTAAGATCTTTTGCTGCAAGATATCAAACAAATACACTTATTTGTATAAAGAAAATATTAAGAGATTTAAAGTACTTCACCACTGGGCTTTCAGACGTCTCCCAACTGACTAGTTAACAGCTTATTGTAAGAAATGCTATTATTCGATGAAAATATGTGAAACGTACTACCCGTGCAAAATAACTTCAATCTAGTGTGGAACACTCACGTGACGTCATTCGGCTGTCATGTTATTTTGCACGAGTAGCATTTGAATGTCATTTGTGCAATTTACGTGTCAAACAAGTATCTTAATAAAACTTAGAATAACAACCAAAATAAGTCTATTATTCTTTGTTGCAATATCGACAAGAAAATAACTCGATGCCATAATATTCTTTTTCTTTACTTGAAATTTTTATGTTTTTCGTTTTCTGTCAATTCATAAAGTTATTTCCTTTAATTATACAATTTTACGATAACTGCACTTATACTATTTTTAAGAATACATACAGTTTTAATATATATATGATCTTAATTACTGACATACATAATTCGAAGGGCGTATAAATAAACAAACAATGATCATACGCCAGCAATCATTCTAAATCATCAAATATTCATGAGCAAAAAAATGTTTCTAATCTTTTTTTACTCTTACTAAGCAATTTCTTAAAGATGTAAATACACACAACCGTCGAATAACCTTGAATTATTCAAGCTTTAAATAGCATAGATAGTTAAATTAATAATGTATGCATTGACAACGTCGTTACTAAACTGAGTAAAAAATGATTTAAGTAAATAATATTGCGCGCAGGTGTCATGGCGCATTGCTACGTCGGGGTTCGCAACATTTCTGTCATCAAAACTACGTGTTCGTTCACAATTGAGATCGAATACTCTAAACACGTCAAAACTAATACTAAAAGAGGTATTTGCTCTCTAACGATCAACAATGCTGTGTTATTTGTAACACGAACTCTCTACAATGGAATCAAGCCCAGATTCTTATATATTTTTGTGTGAGGAAATTTGAAACATGTACAATTTTATAACTGAAATGACTGAAATGATGACAGCAAAATGATGTGGAAATCAATCTATATAAGATGTGAACTAAACAAAATCTATAATAAGATTACGAAGTAGTAAGATTTGTATTCTTGTATGTATTAAAACAACTCAAAAACTACTTGGCCGATTTCGAAAATTCTTTCACCATTAAAAAGCTACTTTATCAGAGAGTAACATAGGCTATTTATTACTTTTTAATTTCGCGCGGGAAGTCGCGAGCAACAGCTAGTTATCAACATATTTAAGTCTAAATTAATAATTATCGTAATATTTCTTTCCAATATTTGACGACTAACAGTTTTCTAAACGAAAGATAAATTAATTTTTGCATATAAATTGAAACCAAATGAATGAAACAAGTGTGTTAGTTATGAGAGTTCGTGTTGCAAGTATCCACGGCGCGTTAGAATTGTATGTAGAGCGTCGTGAGCGGAGACAGTTTGCGGGCGGCGCACTGCACCATACAAACTATCGGCTGCCGGCGTCATTTGCCGTTCGTCTGCAGTGCCGCGTTCAGCTGCGTCCACAGGTCCTTCTTGCACGACTTCGACCTGCAACACACACGTCTTCATTATCAACTCGCCTTTGTACCTAGAGGGTCGGCACAGTATGTACTGCTCCATATATGTCTATCAGCCGTCATGTTTGATATTCAATCTTACTAATGTCAATACAAAAGTTTTAAATGGATGGATATCACGTATCTACCCGAACGGCTCCACGGATCTCACTGTAATTTGCCATGTATGTAGGACATAGCTCTAGCGCAAATCTTGCAGTCGCTTTGTTTAAGTATACTTATTGTAATATTTTTACAAAAAGTATAAAACAAATAAAGAGTAGTCTGAAAGATCATACATGCGTCATTTTTTTTTTATTAATTAAGACAGCCTCGCTGGACAGGTAGTTCTCGATAAACCCAACTCATTGTTTCCTGATGAATCGCCTCGAACACAACAAAATTCAGTTCAAACGTTTAGGTTAAAACAGATTATACAAACTAATAGCAAATATATGCAAAAAACCAATGAGTGCCTTACAGAGAATAATTAACAACGTAGAAGTTTTTTTTTTTTCATTTATAAAAGAACACAAAGATGTACAAATAAAGATTGGCAAAGGTTATATTCGTATAGGTTAAAGCCAAAGTTTAGTAACCCTTTAAAAAAATCACTATTTATGTACATAGATCTATTATGAATGATGTTACATTATAATGTGAAGTATACGAGTACCTGCGCAGCGAGGCGAGCCACTCCTTGAACTGCGTGTGTCCCTCGGGCGTGAGCTGGAAGGCGGTGCGCGCCGACAGCACGATGCCCACGAACTCCTCGTACTCCAGCGGCGTCAGGTGGTACAGCTTCTGGTGGATGCACTGGATGTACCTGCACACCAATGTTAACACATTACTACATGATTATAACGATTAACCACTCCTTTGTTCATGTTTAAACTATAAGTATATTAGGTGTTACAATCTATACATATAATAAAATTGGAGTGTCTGTAATATCAAAGGAAAAATTCCAGATTTCGGAAAGATGATGTATTTGCGTTGCTGATAACGAAAATCGCATTTCAAAAAATTTTGTCTGTCTGTCTGTCTGTCCGCAAGCCGCAT